CCCCCCCCCCCCGATGGGGCACCGCCATGGCACAGTTCGATGTGCGTGACATCAACCGCGGCTCGGCGGTCGTGTCGGTGGAGAAGCTCAACTGGTTCAACCGCCAGCACATCCTCCGGCTGGCGGCCACGCCGGAGGGGCTCCGGCGCCTGGCCGACATCGTGCTCGACCATCTGGCCGGGGCGGCGCTCGATGGCCCGGCCGATGCGGCCGCCACCACCGCCGAGCACTGGACCCGCCCCATCCCCGAGGCCCCGGGGGCCGCCGTCGACCGGGAGTATGTCCTCCGCGTGGTGGCGGCCATCGTCACCGACCGCATCGCCCTCCTTGGAGATGTGTCCTCCACGTATCGGTACTTCTTCCGCGAGGCGTCGCCCGAGCAGGTGGCCGCCATCCGGGCGACCCTGGCCCCGGCCGTGGCCGGTACGTGCCCCGCTCCCCTCGGCCCTGACCTCGCTTCGCCGCCCGCCTCTTTTTTTTTTTTGCTGTTGTTGTTGTTTGCCTGCCACACCATGCCCGGGGGCCGGCCTTTGACACCCATTCCGCTCTTTCTTCTTCTCCTTTTTGCTCCCCCGCCCCCGGCCCGGGGGGGCTGCCCAGCCACCATCCGCCACGCCGTCCTCCCGGAGCTGGCCCGGCTGCCGGACTTCGCCGACGAGAAGGCCCTGTCCGCGTGCCTGAAGGCCCGGCTGCCGGCCGACGATCCCCGGCTGCCGGCCGGCGCCGGGCCCCTCAAGCAGAAGGACCTCCTGCAGGGCCTGCGCAGCCTGCTCACCGGGTCGCCAGCCGGCGCGCCCATCGCCACGGTCATGGCCGTCCTCGGGAAGCAGGTCGCCGAGCGGCGCCTCGCCGAGTGCTAGACCGTTGGCACCTGCCCCACCAATAGAGTCCCGCCCATGGGCGGGCGGGTGTCGATCCCGCATCCCCCCCCTGCTTTCTTTCTTTCTTTTCTCCCCCCCGGAGGCCGCCCGTGTCGACACTGGCGCCTAGTGTACGCGCGGATGGACGGACGGACGGGCGGACGGACGGGCGGCCCCCGCTGCATGTGGGGGTGGGATGGGAGCAGGGGGGGGGGGGGGGGGCGGGCAGGGGGGGGGGGGGGGGGGGCGAGCGGGTGCCCCTCGCGTAGGGCCGCTGTGTATTTTTCTGGTTGCCCCCGGACCGCGCGCACGCCCCGGAGCCCGCGCGCCATACGACCTCTGGTTACTGCCTCCCCCCTTCGCCCTTGCCCTCCCCTGCCCCTCTCCCTCCTCCTCCCTTGCGACCCCAGGCACACCAGGTTCCCCTCTTTCTCGCCTCTCTCTCTCCGCCCGCCCCGCGCCGTCCTCCCCGCCTCCTCCTCCCCCCCCCTCCCTCCACCTCGCCACCTGTCACGCACCCCGGTCATCGCGCAGAGCCCGCCCCGAGTGTCTCCTGCGTGTGTCCCCTGTGTGTGTGTGTGTGCGTGTGCGCGTGCCGACGTTCCTTCGACCCCCGGTGAACCCCACCGGCGAGAGGCCCTGCTCGCCCCACCCCCTTCCCTGCTGCCTGTTTAGGGCGATCCCTTTTCCGGCAGATCCCCCACTGGCACGCGTTTCTCCACGCCGCCGTCCCTGAAGTGTGACCATGCTTACCATGCGCACCTCGCTCTCCCGGGCCTTTGCCCACCGCAGCCCCACCGTACGACTCCCGATGTTCCTCTATCCGGCCTGCTCAGCGTGTTGTCATTTGCCTCTTACTCTTCCCCCGCTGCCTTTCCCCTCCTCTTCTCTTCCTCCGCCCCCCTCCCCCCTCCCCGGGACCCGCACCACCTTGAAACACATGCGCACGCGTGCACATAGTCTCCCCTCCTGCGGGGCTTTTCCACCGCCGTGACCGGCGGTGACAGCTCGTCCAACGAGCCCCCTGCCCCCCCGGCCTCCGACGCCGCCGAGCCCCCTCTCGACACCACCCCCCCCCAGGAGGTCGCCACCACGGATGTCCCCCCGGAGACCTACTCCACTTTCTCCGATTCCCTGAGCCAGCACCTGGACTCCCTGCAGGCTGCCAACGTCCAGGGGTCGACCGGCCAGCGTGACACGGACATCCTCCGCTACCGTGAGCCCATGGCCCGGCGTCTGCAGAAGACCGCCTCCGAGGCCGTGGCCTCCACGTACAGCGAGCTGATTGATGCGCCGCAGCTGGCCGGCCGGGAGCTCGATGATCGTCAGCTGCGCGAGCTGACGGCTCGTGCGCTGATGGCTCTGCGTGATGCTGGGCGCCTGCCGCCCGATGCCCCGGCCTGGCTCCAGGAGATGACCTACGACGGCCATGCCGGCCTGCGGGTGGCGCAATTTGTCAGCGAGAAGGATCGCCCCCTGGCCGGTGTGATTGTGCCCCCGGCCCCGGATCACAATGCCCCGGGCCCGGTGCTTGAGTTCCTGGCTGACCTGCTGAAGCAGCCTCACTGGGCTGGTGCCGCCGAGTTCGAGCTCTATGTGGCCGATGCCCCGGCCCTGACGGACCCCTTCCGCAATCGCCTGCTTGTGGTGCCCACCTTCCACACGGGGCTGGACTACCAGGTGGATGACACCGGGCGCAAGTTCCAGTACCGGACCTTCAACTACATCGCCGAGAATGGCAAGATGGTTACTCTGAAGAATATCCCGGTGTACCTGCGCGAGGAGAACCCCTCCGATCGGACCATGCAGGTGAACAACATCATCTCCATCGACCGCGACAGTGTTCCCACCACGGGTACCTTCTTCAAGCAGCCCGATTGGGAGGCCTACGCCGATAAGACCTCCAACACCGTGGACCGTCTTATTAATGCCGTGGTCCCCAACCCGGACTCCATGGTGACCTACCCGCATGAGCGGTCCCTCATCAACATGATGCAGCAGGAGCGCCCGGACATCCAGAATGAGGATATGGACGAGTCGGCCATCAAGCGCGATCCGCGCCACCGGCTGCCCACCCTCAAGAAGGACTCGCGCACTGACCGCCGTAAGGGTGGCCGTGGCGGCCGCGATGGCAACAACTCCGATGACGATTACAACATCATCGCCACGGACCTGGCCGCCTCGGCTCCCGAGGACCCGGCCTCGGCCAATCCCCACCTGCACTTCGGGCCCGGGGTCGATCTGACCGGCATCCCCGAGGAAAACCTGGAGGGGGTGGTCCTGCCGTCTGGCACTGGCCGCCTTCGGGCCGATCGGATGAGCACCCTCGGCGACCCGATGGCTCGCCTGGCCAAGGGCCAGCATCTGCACCGTGCTGGCAATGACATTGAGGCGGCCATCGAGATGGGCCGCGCGGCCATTGGCGTCGGTCCGGATGTCGACCTGGTGGAGCGCTCCGGCTCCGATGACGAGGATGACGAGGATGATGATGATGATGATGATGGCCATGATGGCCATGACTTCCATGGCCCGGGTTCCCGCCAGGGTCCCAGCAAATCGGTCCAGCCGCACGATCTCAAGGGCAACCGGTATGACCCGGTGCTGGAGATGGTCAAGCAGCACCCGGATGTCATTCTCTCGCCGCACGAGAAGCTGTCCACCATGGTGGAGCAGCTGCAGGCCGACTCTGCGGACCAGATCCGCCATGACCCGGAAAACCGCACGCTCCTGGCTTTCCTCAACAGTACCGAGGGTACGGTCAATCGGTTCCGCTCGTACGAGGTGGTCATCGGGTCCCCGGCCAGCACCACCTTCTACAGTGGCAACAGCCGCCTGCTGGAATTCGTGGCCTTCCTGGATGACTGTATCAGCTTCATGAACGACGTGCGCGACACCAAGCGCTATCTGCGCAACCGGCCGTCCATCTTCAACCGCAGCCAGCCCATCGAGACCGAGGCCGTGTCCCTGCGGGCCTACCTGTCCAGTGTGGATACCATGCGCCGGAAGAATGCCGCCCTTGCCCGGCAAATCATTCGTCGCCGCAACGACCTGGAGCCCTTCTCCTCGGAGCTGTCCACCATGCGCATGAACGACCGGTACAACCAGGCCCTGTCGTTGATCGGCGAGCTGGAGGCCTCGGGCCTGGATGGCCCCCGGAACTTCTCCCAGCACACGGTCAAGCTGTCGCTGGATGACATTGCCAATGGCGGCGCCGCGTCCAAGACCCCCCACCGGTGGGTCGATGCCAAGTTCATTGAGGCGGTCTTCGGGTTCACCATCAACGAGTTCCACTTCGGGTGCGTGAGAAAGACGTCCAGTCGGGGCCGCTGGGGGGGTGGTCGGCCAGCTGGCTTGGCCTTTTTGCCACTGGGCGGCTGGCCTCCCTCCTTCCGGCCTGCTCTTCTCTCTTGCTCTTCCTTCCGCTTTTTCCCCCTTCTGTGCCACTACCCCACCGCTCGCCGGCCATGTGTGTGACCATGTCCTAACACGCTCTCCTTGCCTGATCCGTGTTGCCTTTGCGCCGATCCCCGCCCGCAGCAACATCATTTCTCGCCTCACCCAGCTGGAGAACCTGCTGAAGGATGTCGAGGGTGTTGACAGCATTCGCAACATCCTCAACGTCTTCCGCAAGCCGGTGCCTCCGACCACCCCGCCGAAGACCAAGTCTCCGGACCTGGAGAAGGGCATCACCTCGCACGGGCGCCACAAGCGCTCTCGCGCCACGGTCCTCCTGCGCCCGGGTGAGGGTCTCATTTGGGTCAACTACCGCCCGCTCAATGAGGCCTTCGGCCACTTCGGCTTCACCACCAAGTACTTTGTGGATCCCTTCTACTTTACCAACACCCTGGGCATGTTCGACGTCATGTGCAATGTCCGTGGTGGTGGTCTCTCCTCCCAGGCCAAGGCCTGCCGCCTGGCCATCAGTAAAGCCCTGATCAACCTGGTTCCTGGCGCCCGGGATGTCCTCAAGGATCAGTGTACGTTGCTCGCCTTCCCTTCCGTCGCCCATGCCCCCTTGGGCTTGTCTGTCATTTGTACGCCGGCCCCTGCTGCTTTGACTGATCATTTCCTTTCTCCCCCTCCTCCTCCTCCTCCCGGTTCATGCTATAGTCGCCTGGTCGGTGTCCTCCTTCACTCGGAAGGAGCGGAAGAAGGCCGGTCGTGCCAAGGCCCGCAAGAGCTTCACCTGGGTCAAGCGTTAATCGCCCTGGTCGATTGCCACTTCTGCCGCTGCGGCTGCCGCCGCTGCCCTTCCCTCTCCGGCTTTCCCCGGCTTTCTCTCCTTCGCCACCGCCACCACCACCCGTGCTGCCATCTTCCTGCGGGAATAGAAGGAGCAGCCATCTGGTGGTCTGCCCTCCCTTCTCTTTTCCTTTTCCACCCTCTTCTCTTTCCACTATCACGACACCTCCCTCCCCCCTCCCCTCCTCCCCACTCCTTGTGCCTGAGGGTGCGGAGCGCATTGTCGCTCCCTCCTCTCCTTTTCCCCCCCTCAAACTATGTGTCCAACGACTTTCCCCTCCCCCCATCGTGTGGGATAAATATAGATCTGCCTTTGACACACACACACACACACACACACACATGCACACACATACAGAGGGATATATTTATCCCTAGACATGGATATGTCGACACACAGGCGTGACGTTCCTGACAAGCGGCAAGGAGGAGGACACTCTACTCGGCACCGAAGACAAGCGCACGAGGCGAGTCCCGGCACGAGAAGGGGACATGCGACGATGACCCCGCCCGGCATCATCCCTCGCGCGGACGCGTGGGCCAAACCAAAACGTGTGCCAACATGCGGAAAGCAACCGCGAAGGACACCGGGCGACGAGCGCCGGGCGGAGGCCAGGGCGATCACGCCACACCTGGGCTGATCCCCCCTCTGTCCTGTGATAGTGTCCGACTGCCAACTTAGCCGTGACAGAAATCAATAGAAAGGGACTCTGCCCGCCGAAGGCCCTCCCCCCCCCCCCACTTGGGGAAGTCTAATTGCCACACCGCCCCCCCTCACACGCGCCTCCTCCTCCTCTTTGGTCCCCCTCCCCGCCACCCCTCGCCACCCCTCGCCCATTTCCCCTCTGCTGTGAGCCCCTCAGTCCTCGTCTGTCCGCTTGCACCTACCCCGCATCATGGCCTCCCCCAGCCCTGATGACAACCTCTACACGGTCATCCTGCCGACGTACAATGAGCGGGAGAATCTGCCCATCCTTGTGTGGCTCCTTGACAAGACCTTCACCCAGCAGTGCGCACCGGTGGCCCCCCTGCCCCTCCTGCCTCTTCTTCTCTTGGAGGGCCTGTCTGTTTCCCCTTGCTGCTGTTAACATGCTCCCGCCATAGTGCCCTTAAATATGAGATTGTCATTGTCGATGACAACAGCCCCGACGGCACACAAGCCATGGCCGAGGAGCTCCAGCGTGTCTTCGGCCCGGAGAAGATCATCCTCCATCCTCGGCCCGGGAAGCTGGGTCTTGGTGCGCATGCCTCCCCTTGTCCTCTTTTGCCCTCCTGTTGGTGGGCAGGAGGCACCCATTGAGCTCGACGTCCTCGATGAGCTGCGCGCTGACAAACACACACACACACACACACACACACACACACACACACACACACACAGGCACCGCCTACCTGCATGGTCTTGAGGTGGCATCCGGCAACTTCATCTTTCTCATGGATGCGGACCTGTCGCACGACCCGAAGTTCATCCCGGAGTTCATCAAGTGCGTTTGTAGCTGGCTGTGGGCGGGTGCCTTTCGCCATCTCAAAAGCCACGCCACGTCACACCCCGATTGCTAACATGCACCTTGCCCTGGCCTTGTCCCAGGACGCAGAAGGCCCTCAAATGTGACATCGTCACCGGGACTCGCTATACCATCGGGTCTGGCATCCATGGCTGGAGCCTTTACCGCAAGCTCACGAGGTGCGTGCTCATTCTTTCTTCCCCCTCCCGCACACAGGCACGGAAGCCGACCTTTGCCATAGCTGCCCCATCTCACATATCTCCGCTTTCCCCCCCCCCCCCCTCTCTCTCCCTCTCCCTCCCTCTCTCCCCGGCCCCGTGCCATATACGCCCCGGAACGCAGCCGCGTGGCCAACTTCATTGCCGACACCCTGCTCGACCCGCAGGTGACCGATCTGACTGGCAGCTACCGCCTGTACAAGCGCAGCGTGCTGGAGCATCTGATCGACATCACCGAGTCCAAGGGGTACGGCTTCCAGATGGAGGTGGCCGTGCGCGCGTCCCGGTTCCGGGATGAGGCGCTCGTTCCCGAGGGGCGGGAGATCCAATGGTCGTCGGCCGAGCCGCGAAACACCAGCCACCGGGACCTCAGCGACGAGATCACCATCCTCAGCCCGGCGGGGGGCTACCGCATCGCCGAGGTTCCCATCACCTTTGTTGACCGGCTGTATGGCCAGAGCAAGCTCGGCCCGAATGAGATCACTGCCTATCTGAAGGGGGTGTGGCGGCTGTTCATGGCGGTCTAACCAGCCCACCAAACAAGGGGAGGTCCTCTTGTCCGTGTGTGTGACCGGTACAAGCACACATGTCCCCGGCATGTTCCCCCCTCTGTGTCCCCCCACATTGAAGAACACTCGCGTGCATGTCTGCTTACGCCACTCCGCCGAGAGAATAGACATCCCCCTTGGGACCTCCCGTTGGGAAAATCGCGGGTTTGCCTCCAACCTGGGCGAGGGGAACACCCCTACCGGAGGGGAAGGGTGCGGGGGGGGGGGGGCTCACAAGAAGGAAGGCCAGGAAGGGAGGAGGTGTCTCCACTACGGGAGCAGGCCACCCGATGTACATATGCCATACGGCTAGCCGCGAAGACCAATGGAGCCAGGAAAGTCCCCCTTCGCCAAGGGGGCTGTGCATTTTCGGTGAAGCACGCCTGTAGCTGCACACACACACACAGACCTTTTTCATGGATACACCCAAAATACACACACACACGCAGCCCATCTTTCACAGTGCACTAGTCTATTATGACACAAAATTCATATCGCGGGTCACGCATTACAAATGAAGAGGAAAGGGGAATAGGTGGTTTACAGCAGAGAGGGGAAGGGAGGGTCTGTCTCTCTCTCAGGAGGAAGGGGGAGAAGGGGGGTGTACAAGGACAGGGGTGTTTTCCGGCCGCGGGCATATAAAAGGGAGGGAGAGAGAAGAGAAGAGGGAAGGGGAGGGGGGGGGAGAGGGGGGGGGGGAGGGCTGAGGAGGGAACTGGGTTCGTCAGTCCCAGGCGGAGGGAAGGGAGTGGCCGCGGTTGGAAGTGAAGGAAGAGTAGGGAGTCGGGGCGGCGTTGTTCATCATCAGCATGTGATCGCTGCCGCGGTTGTTGCCACGCGCGCCGCCGGCGCCGGGGGTCGCCGCCGCGCCCGAGGACTGCATGTTCTCACGGAAGTCCTGGGAGGCGAAGCTCGGGCGAACGGGCGCCGGGCCACGGCGATGGGTGCGCCCAGCGTCGCGGGTCATGGCGAGCAGGAACTCCGGGACCTCCTGGCCAGCCAGCTGAAGGCGGTTAACCAGAGCCGGGGCGACCGGCGCATCGCGGGCCGAGAAGAAGGTCATGGCACGACCACGGTGACCAGCACGACCGGTACGGCCAATGCGGTGGATATACTCATCAATCTCCTTGGGCATGTCGTAGTTAACGACGAAGGTGACATTCGGGATATCCAGACCACGGGCAGCCACGGCGGTGGCAATCAGGAAGGGGGTCTTGTGGGAACGGAACATCTCCAGAGCAATCTCACGCTCGGACTGGTCACGATCACCATGGATGGAAGTGGTCTCGAAGCCGGCCTTGGACAGCAGGGTGTCCAGGAGGTTGGCCGAGCGCTTGGTCTCGACGAAGACCAGCATCAGACCACCCTCGGACTCGCGGCGCTTCTGGAAGTTGTCCATGAGATCCTGGAGGAAGGTCAGCTTGTCATTGTCCGACACGCTGACGATGGTCTGGTCGACATTGTGCGAGGCAGCGCCAATCGTGCCGACCGTCAGGAAGATGTAGTCGTGCAGGAACTCCTGGGCCAGGCGCTGAATCAGCTCGGGGAAGGTGGCCGAGAAGAGCAGAGTCCGACGGACACCCGGGGGCGGCATGTTGGAGCTCTTGACAATGGCATTGATGTCATCCTCGAAGCCCATGTCCAACATGCGATCGGCCTCATCGAGAACCAGGAACTGGATGTCGGTCAGGGAGATGAGGTCGCGCTTGATCATGTCGGTCAGACGGCCGGGCGTGGCGACGATGATGTCGGCCCCGCTGCGCAGCTTGAGCATCTGGTCCTGCATGTTGCCGCCACCACCGTAAATGACGATGGAGCTGATGTGAGACCGGTAGGTGAACTTCTCGGCCTCCTTGTGGATCTGGATGGCCAGCTCACGAGTAGGGGTCAGGATCAGGGCCGAGGGGTTGCGAGAGCGGCCGCCAGCCCGACGGGGAGCATTGGACTTCATCAGCTGCGAGATGATGGGGAAGAGGAAGCCACCGGTCTTACCGGAACCGGTCTGGGCACAGGCCATCAGATCGCGGTTGTCCAGGGTGATGGGGATGGAGTAGCGCTGCACCGGGGTGGGGACAGTGTACCCGGAAAGGATGATGTTCTCCTGCAGGAGGTCATGCAGAGGGGACTCCTTGAACTGTGCACGAGGAAGGAGAGGGGCGCAGATGGAGCAGGCCAAAGGGGGGGAGGGGAGACAGAGGGGAAGGGGGGAGAGAGAGAGAGAGAGAAGCCGGACAGCGAAGGGCACATGCGGGGAAGGGGGAGGGGGATGACAGATGAGTATGGGGCCAGGGGATGGAGAGCAGAGACACAGGGCAAGAGAGGCAAAACCGGAGTAGGGGGGATGGGGGGGGGACCGCGACAGACACGCACCGACTCGATGGGCTCGGGGGGGTTGCTACCGGAGATCTCGACCGGGATCTCCTTGTACTGCTCGAAGTTAATGCCGGACGGCTGGATATCACCGAAGAGGGCCTTCTCGCGCTCGGGGCAGCGGGGCGCCGGGGTGTAGGCGTTGCCGGCAGCAGGGGCAGCCATGCCATCCGGGCTGGTGGGATCCGGGGAAGCACGGGAAGAGGCGGAGGCACCACCGTAGCCACCATGACGGCCGGCACGCCAGCCATCAGAGTGGGGGCCACCGGCATGGGAGTTGCGCGGGCCACGAGGGCCACCGGCACCGGGGCCACCGTGGGGGTTGCCCCCGAAGCCGCCACCACGACCACCACGGCGGTCGCCGCCCTTCTGGAAGGCGCCGCTGGGAGAGCGGTGGTTACCGCCGCCCGGAGACCCGGGGGAGCTGGAGGCACCGGAGTTGCCGCCGGCGTTACGCAGATGCGGCGGGACGTAGAGTCCGCCGGTGGAGGAGGAGGTGGAGGGGGAGGGGGAGGTCCTCAACGCCTGGCCAGTCTCCTGCGTGAGGTGGAAGGCGGGGGCGGTGGCGGAAAGGGGAGGGCAGATGAGGGTCAGCGAGAGGAGGGAGATCGAGGCCCGGCAGGGAGGCAGGAAGGCAGGAAGGGGGAGATTGTGGCGGAGGGCGGCGCACGGCACGTACAGACTGGTTTAGACGCTGGGAGTTAGACGCGTCATTGCTCATGAATTAGATCTGTGTTGGGGGCGAGGGGAGGGGAGGGAGTGTCGAAGAGGGGGCGGGGGGAGATAACGCGTGTCAGTGGCAAGCAAGTGGCATGGGAGGGAAAAGAAGAAGTGCAAGAAGAGCGAGCGCCAGGGGGGGGGGAGGAGAGAGAGATTCAGACAGGTGCAGCAAAGGGGGGAAGGAGGGGAGGGGGGCACGGTGTGGTGATCGGGGTTGTCCTGGCGCGCATGCGGGCGAAGGATCGCCTTGCGTTCGGGCAAACATTCGCATGGGCGGAACACCGAGAAGCGGAGAGTGGGAAGGGCAAGAGGCGCGCGCGTGCGCGAAAGAGAGAGAGAGAGAGAGAGAGAGAGAGAGAAGAAGTGCGTACGGAGGGGGGAGTGCTTGCTGGTAGAAAACAGCAAACAAGAGGAAACTAAGGGGGGATAGAGAGAGTGTATCAAGGAAAGAGGGCGTCCTCTGGGGAGGGGAGGGCGCACGTCGGTGGCGGAAAAAGCTGGCGGGACACCAGAACCCCATCTCCTGGTGGGCGGGGGGCCAGAGGGTGAGGGAAGGACACTGAGATTCACAGGCCATGGGGGAGGCCCGGTTACGGCGGCAAGGGACATGCGGCGGCGGCGGCGGCGGCGGCGGCGGCGGCGGCGGCGGCGAGCCAGCCGCGACTCCCCTGTGCAGTCCGACCGGTCTGGCCGTTTATTGCTGGCCGAGGACGGGTCTTCCTGTCTTCGCCCCTCCCCATCCCCTGCACACACACGAAGACACACACACGCACACGGAAACAGACACCTGCTGGGGGATCGGCTCCGAGGACGGGGACACTTGGGCGCCCTGTCCCCGACCGTCGTGAGGCCAGATCGGATTCAGCGCGTCGCACCCGTCTCTTCCGTGCAACCGTTTGATCCCCTGCCCCCCTGCCGGGGGGGGGGGGGGACGGGGGCGGGACGAGCGCGTGGGGAGGGAGCGAAGGGCATGCGAGCAACCCTAATCACTGGCCAGTCTAGAGGGGCCCGATACTGCGGCGTGTGCACTGCCGGGTCTGCAGGACAGGCGGCCCGCACACACGAACGGCGAGCGCCCGTGCGTGTGCCTGCGTGCGGTGTGCGCCCCCCTCCTCCCTCCCCACAAGCCCCCCACGGGGACCGAGCCCGGTCCGACGCCAAAGTGAGGGACACGCGCCGGGTCCCCCCGGGGGCGGAGGCGCAGCGTGGCCGTCTGGACGCGCGGTCCCCGCCATGAAAGAGCAGAACCGCCTCCCGGTCCGGGGTGGCGGCCCCCTGGCTGGCGAACGGGGGCGGGGGGGGGGGGGGGGGGGAAGCGTGCTGATCCGCTCTCCGAGGATCCGGCCGGTGGCTCGCCCAGCCCCGAATGCGGGGCCCACTTGAGCAAGGGTCAGCGCAGTGACCGGCGCGCGTGGCAAGTGAAGCGAGCCGGCAGCCTAGGACGGGCCAGAGCGGGGATCGCCACCCCCTCGGCGCCGTCTGGCGTGCCGTTACGCGAAAAGTCCACGCGCAGGCGGCTACGCCGCTGCGCCTCGACCTGCCCCACCTGTGCATCCCCCCCTCGGTCGGAGGCACCAGCTCTCGGGGCCCTCTCCCTTCGCCCTCGGCCCGGCACGAGGAGGAGGCGCCCTGCCGGCGAGTGGAAGGAGGGTTAATTTTCGGCATCATTCCACCGGCTCTCCTTCGGCTGAGGGCCGTGCATTACCGAAAATGATACCCCCCCACCGAGCAACCACCCGCATCCTGGACACTCCCTGCTGCCGTCCGCAGCGAGGGGAGGCCTTTACGCAGGCAGGCTGCCTCGGTTGCTCGGCCGGCCCCCTGCCTCCCCCGCGTGTGGGCTCCGTCCGGCGGCCGGGAGGGCCTAAGTCACCACTGACCGAGGACTTTGGACGCTGGCGGCCGGGGCGTACTCGAGACGCACCCGGGCCCGGCACACGCGTGCACTACACGCTCACGTTCGCTGGTTGACACACTCGGCTCGGAGTCCGCTCCCAATTGAAAGCGTTGGGTGGACGCCCGCCCGCCCGGGGGGAGTTCGCACAAGCGACACACCACTGTCGGCCCCGGCCACAGGGAAAGGGGGAGTACCCAGGCTTGCCCCCGCCCGCATAGACATACAGAAAGGGAAGCGCAGTACCACAGAGGGGCCCGAGGGAGGGAGGACAGCCGCGCGACAGACGTCCATCAGACCAGGGTGTCGGGGTACCCCTCAAAAACCGTGGCTGCCACCAAAGTGGGGCTAAAGCAGGGGGGGGGGGGGGGGCGGGCCGGGCCGAGTAGGATCCAAGCGCAGCCGGACCACGTCCAGGCCCGGGAGAGCGCAAACATCACCCCTGAGAGCGCACACTTCCAAGGGCATGCCGCGAGGATTACCCACGACTGGGAGCTGGCGCAGCCGGGAACCCTAGTCTAAATGGCCGCCCATAACCTACATTGGCTTCTCCCACCCGGCCCGGGCACCAGGGTATAAGAAGGGCCCAGGGAATGGGCGAGGATACCAGCCCCGACAATGTTCCCCCGCCGGCCGACACAGGCCCCGACCAGCAGAGGCGGGGGTCACCAGCTGTCCCTCCCCCCGCTGAACATACCACTCAAATGCGAATCTTCCAGTTGGCCGCCAACAACCAGCTGCGGGCGATCCCCCCCCCCAGACCCCGTTCGCGCGCCCGGGGGCACCTTGTGGAGGCATCGCCCCTCTAAACCGGGGGGACAAAGTAGCCTGGTCTGAGTTGGAATTTCGCACGTATGGGCCTTCCGGGGACTGGCCGGCCCTTGGTCTCTTGCCCAGGAGGCTTCTCGTAAGTCCGGCACCCGCGCCCTCCCCCTGGGTGAGGGGGGACGGGGGAGGGGGCGGGGGGGGGGGGAACGGGGGAAGGACAGACATCCACCACAAGGCTGGCGGGTGCCCACAGAGCCCGGGAGGGGGCAGCGGGAAGCGCGCCAACCGGGTGACAGAGTACACTGTGGCCGAGGCGAGTCCAAGACCCCCCCGGGGGTGGCGGGGCCAGTGGGACAAAACACCGGCAGCCCGCCAGCGGGGGCTTACACCCGGGGCGCCGCCACGGGCAGGCGCAGCCGGGGGTGGCCCTGCGGCGTGCAGTTCTTCTGAGAGAGGGAGAGAATCCTGATACCCAAAAAGATGGGCATCCGCTTTATGTCTGCCTACAGTCCAGAGAGAGAGAGAGAGAGAGAGAGAGAGAGAGAGCCCCAGCGCGCTTGGGGAGTGATGTCATTTCTGGCCCAGCCGCCAGGATCCCGCGACAAGGAGACGCGCGCCGAGTAATGAGAACACTCGGGCCAGGGGACATCCGGGGCAGTAAATGCGCTCGCGAAAGATAACCCCACCTTGGCCGAGTGCGCCCCGTTTGTCAGGGCACTGGGCCATTTAGCGGGCGTCAAATTTGTCACACACCGACACACTCAAAAGTACCAAATAAATATCCGTATTTATTTGGACATTTGAGGGCATGGTGAAGGTTTAGTTCATGAGCGAGGCACAATTAAGGTGTTGCGGAATGACGTTTCCGCCAACACCGCACGGGATCAAGATGTTGGACGCACGTGCAATCGGCAGGCGCAGATGGGCCAAATAGAGCCGGCGGGCATGGCGCCTCGTTCGTGCTGACCCGTGCGCGCGCGCGCGGGCGTGCACACAGGTGCAGACCACGGACCGGCTTGGCAACTGGCCTGACCCTGCTCCTCCCCACCCCCGGCCCCCTCTTCCTCTCTCTCTCTGTCCCTTGGTGGTCGGTGTTTGTTGGTCTCCAGCCTCTGGACGATGTGCCCTTCTTATTGGGAGGGGCGCGGGCGGCCGACAGGACGAGGAGACCACGGTGGGGCGGGAGCAATAGGGAAACGGCCTGGCTGCTGGAGCCCTCGAGCGGGGACATCGTCGTCCCCCCCCCCCCCCCCCCCGACGGGCGAGGTATGCGTTGTCCAGGCAGCACGTCAGCCGATCGCCTGCATGCAGGTTTGCCCGATCCCTGGGGCGGTGGCGTGCACATCTGCGCGTCCGGTGCCCGGGACACTCAAGGTATGGGGAGCTGGGGACGACTTGGCCCCCCCCCCCCCCTCCCCCAGGCCACCTTGCGCGTGCATATGGGCGTGTCGGTGAACGGGTCCGCCCTCTGCCCCCCCCCACCTTGCCGACCTTTCTGCTGAGGCATGTGTGACCCCCGATCGGCGTGCCTAGGTGCCCCGATGTGTCGTCGCCCTACGATCGCGCATCTGGGCACCTCTGTTCGCGGCCGCCAGCTCGCCTCCTGGGAGAGACGGACAGGTCTCCCCCCCCCCGTCGGGAGGACGATGCAGGGGTCTGGGGTCCTGAGGCTGCAGCGGAAGGGGGGGCTTTCACGGGACACGGCCGGATGCCCGCCGCCAAGGGCAGCACACCGCGCGCCACTTGCATGCTTGCTAATATGCAATACACACACACACACGCGCGCGTGCGAAGCCCACGCGTCTGGGGCAGGGCGAAGGGGGGGGAACACAGCTTCCTGCCCGACCCCGGTTGTTTTCCACAGCAGGTCAGGCCGCCCGGCACGCCGCTTGAATAGCGGCACCGGGTTTCTCGCCAATCCAAGAGACCGCCCCCCCCCCCCCTCCCCCCCCCCACCCCCTTCCCCCCCCCCCCCCCCCCCGTCTGGGGCAGGGCGAAGGGGGGGGAACACAGCTTCCTGCCCGACCCCGGTTGTTTTCCACAGCAGGTCAGGCCGCCCGGCACGCCGCTTGAATAGCGGCACCGGGTTTCTCGCCAATCCAAGAGACCGCCCCCCCCCCCCCCCCCCCTGCCACTCTGGTCCCGAGGGCCAGGACCCGAGAGAAGGGAGCAACCGATATCCCACCTGGGAGGGGGGAGCACAGCCCCCGAGGTGGGTAGTTTGATTTCTCGAGTCCCTGCATCCCACACAATAGGCTCTGCTCGCGCGCTAGGGGCCGCCGCGCTGGCCGTCTTTGGGCAGACTTACCGCGCAGGCAATGGGCGCTCCCTGCCTCTCCTTGCGGATTTTGGGGCGGCCCAAGGAGCATTGGTTGGTCCGAGAGGTGCAAGCCTTCTTTGCTCCCGGGCCTCGGGGGAGAGACGCGCCCCGACGCCCATGACCCGGCAACTTGGAGTCCGGGGGCCGAGGGGGGGGGCAATTTTCACGCTGTCACCCAATCTGCCCGTGGTGGCCGGGGCCCAGGGGCACGACGGGATTGCCGCTTTCCGGCTGGTGGTGCCTCTCTTCTGTCCCCCCTCCCCCCTCCCCCGCCCGCTGGCGAAGGTGCGTTTGAGGGTGCTGGTCGGTAATAATGGAGTGAGCGCCTTGCAGCCGGGCATGCTTGCCTGTGCTTGGCCACCTGGCTCGCCCTGCGGGCCTTGGGGCAATGTTCCATTGGGATCTTCCCCCCAGCTGGTTGGCCCACGGAGGCCGAGGGGGCGACGGGCCAGGAGGCCCACGCACCCTGCGGAGTGGTACCAGCGCGCTTGGGGGGGAGGGGGAGGCCCCTGTGGGTAGAGCACTGCCAGGCCCTCTGCCATTTTACGAGATCCGGCCCCGCAGCCGCTTCTGATCTTCCGGGCCCTCATGTCGGGGGCGAAGGTGTGTCCCCTCGCGGTGGATCCCACCTCGGGTGGCTTTTCCCTCCCGGCTTCCACGTCCGCTGGCCAGCCCCATCCGCGGCCCCATGTCTCGGCAGTCCGGACGGGACCCGTGTGTGTGTGTGTGAGATGGGGGGGGGGGGGGTTCTTATGGATGCCTCCCCCCGTCCCCCGGTGGATACCGAACGCAGGCCACAGGTTCCACACACACACCCCTTCTGCCCAAATCTCCCCTTCTCATCCCCCCCGCCTCACCCCTCACCCCCTCCCTCCCCACCACAGGAAATGACCACCAATAACCCGTCCGCCAAGCCCTCCTCCTCTCCCCCGCCGGAGCAGGCAGTGGCGCCTCCCGACAGCACTCTCTCCCGACTGGCCAGCCCGGCTGACGCCAATCCCGCTGGTAATGTCCATGGCGGGCGCCTGCTCTCGTGGGCGGTCGAGTGCGCCTGGACCGCCGCTTGCGCGCACTGGCTGGCGGCCAATCCCCCGGCCGGCGACCCGGCCGGTGCCATCCCCCCCCGGCGCCCGCGCCTGGCCATCGCTCGCTACGAGCAGATGCACTTCCAGCTGCCGTCCCAGATCGGCGGCAAGATCACCCTCAGTGGCAAGGTCATCTTCACAGCCGAGGGGTCTCCCTGCCCATCGCATGCTCACTTCCCGGCCGGGGGCCGCCATCGGCTGATGCTTGTTCTGGTGACCACCCGCTGTGTGTCCTACACCAACTATGTGCCCTCTGGCTCGTCGAATCCCGATGGCCCGGTCACCAACACCGCACTCATCTGGGTCATGGACATGGACCCCGAGTCGCCGGGCGTGCCGCCAATGCTGTGCGTGCCCCCTGCTCCGCCCCGTCTCTGCATCTCTCGTCTCGGCGCGCACTTCGCCAGGCCCCAACCTCTCTGACACCGGCTCCTCCCGGCATCCCCCTCCCCCTCCAACTGATTAGCACCCACCCGCCCGGCTATGAGACCATCTTCCTCATCGGCTCGGTCCTGTTTACTCGCTGGCGCGATGAGGTGGCCGGCCAGTGGCCCTTCCCCGAGTCCGACTCTGCTGTGGATGCCCAGGAATTCGTGTCCTCGAGGCCAGGGCTCGTGTCGCTCCCGGGCCCGGGCCCGATCGAGCGCTACGTCCACGCCTCGGATCAGAAGTATGGCCGGAAGCAGGAGGCTCTCGAGGCGCAAGCCCTCCTGGCCCAGGGGTACGTCATTGGCGCCAGTGATCTCTGCCCAATTGTCTTACAATTGGTCCTTGTCCGCGGTCCCTGGTTTTCTTCCCCTACCCATGCCCCCCCCCCCCCCCCCTCTGCACACCCCTCTGACCCTCTCCGCGACCCATTGTCTTCTCACGTACTTGTGTCGGCGCTGCCATGCAGCCCCCCAACCACGATGTCTGAGGCCGAATTGAGTGAGGCCTTCCCCGGACTGACGTCTCTCAAGCCAGCGGACCGTGTGGCGGCTGGCCTGCTCCCCTCGCGTACTCGTTCCGAGACGGCATCCTCCCTGTCGGTGCTCACGGTTCCTTCAGACGCGGCCCCCTGGGAGTGGCCGAATCGCTTTGACTCGGCCCTCCTTGAGGTCCCGGCCCAAGGGGCGGCCTCCGGTGCGGATGCCCTCCCGCCGGCCGTACACGCTGGGCCTATCCTGTACCTGATGGACACGACAGCCGGCATCGCGGCTTGGCGCCATTGCCAGGCCCACATTGTCACCATCAGTGCCCAGGCCATTGACTTCCGCCGGACCGTGCGCGTCGGTGAGGTCCTCACCTCCTCGGCCAAGATCGTCTTTGCTGGGCGCCGGTACGCCCCCCCCCCCCCCCCCCCCC